AACAGTTTGTGTTAACCAAAAGCACCAAACTCCTATTTATACAAAAAAGTGTCAGAAAACTGCATTAAGGAATAAAAATGCACACACAAGGGCATCTCTACCAAGCAATAAGATTATGGTTCTTCCATTGTAGGAATAAACACTTACATAAAGCTGAGACCATATGAAATATCTTACCATACGGTTCCCTCCATATATATCATTTTCTCTATGACGAAACACGGGACTATCCATGAAAACAAAATCCACACCATCAATGTAGGTTTGGAAGTACGTCACCTCCATATCCTGAAAAATATACCAACATGATATAAACCTATATAAAAAAAAATCTAAATAATGTTGTCTATGCTTACCTGGCCATCTACTTTATATGTTTTCCGAACTCCTGAATATTGAGGTTCAGCATAGTTACCGTAGCGAGGTGCAACGACCTATCAGTTGTTGGAAACAATAAATTTAACTTAATATGATTAATAAAATTCAGAAACTGAGAATTTTGTAGCTTCAGTAAATGTTAATTATGTTAACACCACTAATATTTAAAGACCAAACTATATATGCAATTCCTTAAATCAATAAAATTGGTCACTATGATGAAAAGGGTTGGTTCTCTGTTGAAAATAACATCAGTAGATGCATCAAATTTTGCAAGCCATATTCTTAAACAAAAGTAAATCAAACTTTACCATGACTCTGTGTCCACGTCGAGCCAAAGCCTTGGGTAAAGCTCCAGCAACATCTCCAAGCCCACCTAACATTATTTTCATACTTGTTAGTGCACATGGACCACGGCACAGTCATGTTTGTGTACATGGACCATAACCTAAGAGTCCACATGAAAAAACCAGAAAACAACCAAAAGCCTATTTTTATTGTCAACATACATTATACCAACAACAAAGAACCCTGGAATCCCAACCATTTGTGGCCTTCTTACCTAATCCATTCCTGAGTATTGGTATTCCTATTTGATATTTTGCATTCTTTGGCTGCGGTATTTGCAAGGGAAAAATTCTTGAGCACAGTCCAACAGTCTTTTAGCTTATTCCCCAGAAAATTTTTAAAAGAACAGGCAATCATTAGAACAGTCAGCACTTTGGGTTAAAAAGAATCCAGTTAGGCAACTTTGTACAAGCATCCGCTACCTACCTGTTTGCTTGTATTTCAAATCTCTTCTTTAGCGACACCATTGCCTTTAATAATTTAATATTAAAAATAGACACATGCTTTCCATTAGCAAGCATATTAATAAATTAGATCACAACAACTGTTATTCACTTATTTACATCTGACTTGAACAGTATCTGCTACATAATTATAATCGGATATGAACAATAACTGCTGCATGCAAAGGAAATGGAATTGGGAAACCTGTTCCCTTTTAGAAAATTCCATTGTTGTCGACATACCTGTTTTAGACCAAGGAGCACATTCTGCAGCAACCAAAATTATGTTCATGACATTGGGACCGGCCAGTGGAGGGGGTTTCACATCTTCGCCTGTGGGATCTTGGACTTTAACCTTCATGTCCTCTAGATTTGATTCTTCTGCATCTTTACTTTTATCATATTTCAGGCTCGATGGTGCATCAGATAAAATGGTTGTCCCCACATTAGCATCCTTCAACTCGTCTGAATCTACTTTGGTGGAGGTCTCTGTGGCTTTCTTCAACCACTTGTAAGAATCCTTATTTGAAAAAGGCTCTGGACTGGGCGTGACAGCCGATCTCAGAGGAACTGATGGCACTTCCTGAGACTGAACTGACTCTGAAATAGTGGCTTTCAACTGTGGTTTGTCATTATGACGCAGGTCTTTTCCAGGTTCTGTCATATTGGCAAATGAATATTCACTGGAAGCTGAAGCTGTGTTTTCATTCACATCATGAACAGCTGAGTCAGAGTGGATGCCGCTAGTGGAGAATCTTTCATTATCAAGGTCTTCACTGATCTTGTCACCTTCAGCTGTTGCAATACCAATACTTGAAAAACTTCCACTGCGCTCCTCATAAGGCAATTCATCGCTTTCTGGATCAATAATACTACTTTTTATTGATGAGACTAATTTTTTCCTTTCTGCAATCTGCAAAGTGGAGTCCAAAACCAGATTGGTTTCTTTTTCTGGATCAAAATGGAACAAAGTATAAAAATTGACTACACCACCTCTGCAAGTGCTATAAATATTTCCTCTTACTTAAAAATTGAATGTTTGTACTCGATCAGCTTTAATAACGATGAAATCAGTTCAATGTTAACTATCTTATACTTCTAAACCAGATTCAAATCATTAAAAAATTTAAAGGAAAATGTAGGAGAAATAAAAATGATTTTAAATTTCCAGAGCTTTCAATACTTTTGGAACTACTGATCAAAATAAGACTTTTCATATCTTGGAAATATATGACTTGCTAACACTGTAATAGTTTCTAACGTTAAGATTAACACGAGTACATACATATAGCAGCGATGAGATGAATAAGTGCTAAGTTAGGGAAAAGAAAACCCTGCTACATACAAGAAAAAGAGATCGGTGAATTCAAGAAACCTGTTTTAATAAGTCTTTTTGCATGGCCAGAACCTTCTTGCTCTTTTCAATTGTGGCCTGTAAAGCATCATCTTGTTCATCACCACTCTCAGCTTCCTCTGATCCCTTCCCTGTCGCTTGTACGAACTTTATCCTCGACCTCCATCCCACGCTGCCACAACACAATGACAATCTCCCCGTATTATCTTCACTCAAATTTCTTGAAAATCCAGCAGTATGGCAATTAGTCAAACCCCCAGCATCAAAAGATTTTCTTGGTCTGTATGCAAGTGTAGGAATCATGGGTCGATGACGGTTTCTACCGCGAAGAATTATACAACTGTCCACCGCATTTTGAACGGTCCCAATAGACGCCATTAAAGCGTTTGATAAATAGCCTCTGAAAAACTATATTTTCAAGATTCTACGAATGCGAAGATTCAGACTAAACCGGAGAATACCCTGTTACGGGAAATGAGAGATAATCAAACCAAATTGGTGTTTCCTTGAATAGAGGATTTCAAGAAAACCCAGATTTGCAAAGAGAGCCTCTTTTAACTTTGTATTAGGTTTCTAGGGTTAGTACTCAGTAGTGAAAATGAAGAGAACACCATGGACAGAGGCCCAAATGGAAATGGCCGGTGAATGTCTCCTTTTCAAGTGATTGTTTACAGTGGGACCACCTCAGAAATGGAAAATGTGATTTTGATGATTTTGTTTTGTGAGGCTCAGATTGATTAGAAACAGCAAATCCAGATTATGAACCAGAAGCTTCTTTATCTGGTTGAGATTAAACTAGAGTACAAACAAGATGCCTGATAACAAAGCTCAACTCGTGGCTTGGACAGGGTGTGGGTCCTATCCTATGACTTTGTATATTGTTACTGGGGTGTATGGATGGCCAAAAAGTTCGGACAAAAATTTATGGTTCAGGGATTTACTTTTAGGGAATCAAAAATCAGGTCCCAATGTTTAAAATTGCAAAAATCAGGTTTTTTAAAAATTAATTAATTATATTTCACAATTATTATATTAAATTAAATATTTAACTATAATATAATATAATTAACCCCACCCCACCAAACTCCATCTCCACCACCCCCATTGCTCCG